GTCCTGGCGTTACCCTGTGAATTATTTTAGCTTGCTGACATGGCCCCGCCTCTGTGCTTCCTCCCTTCCCGTGTCGCCCCTTCTGCATGCCCCCCCCCCCTCCCCTCCCACTGCGGCACGGATGCTCACCTGCCAGGGCGTCGAGCCGGACATGCGCCCGGAAGTGTGGAAGTATCTCCTTGGGTATTACCGCTTTGGCATGACGGCTGAGCAGCGGGTTCGGCGCGATCGGAAGCTGCTGTGCGTTGATCGGAGATGGGCGGGGCCGGGAGCCGGGAGCCCGGGGCCGGGCTGCTCCCCTTCAATCGTTGATGCTTCCTCCGCCCTCTTCTGCCCCACCTGACTGACATGCAATGATGGGGCTCCCCTCCAGCGATGACTACATCGCCATCTGCAAGAAACTCCTCTGCCCATCGACCAATCCGGAACACCCTGGCTACGAGACCCCGCGCATCATCGGTGCGTGCGGGCATTCCCCACTGGCCAGTGGCAAGACCCATTTCGCCCATGCTGCGCCCGCTGACACACACACACACACACACACACATTAACATGCACCCATTCACCCCCCCACACACACATGCACATGCATGCACTCTTGCAGAGAAGGACATCCTCCGGACAGATTGCTCGATTCCCTTCTTTGCCGAGGGACGCCAGGTGAATCCGAATGTCCGGCGTATGCGGCGCATTCTGGCCGCCTATGCCGCCTGGAATCCGGCCGTCGGCTACTGCCAGGGCATGAGTGACCTGCTGAGTCCCCTGCTGCTGGTGTTCTCCTCATCCGACCTCGAGCGCGACCTGGGCTTGCGCGAGGCTGCCAGTAGCTCGGCCCCGGCGCATGGCTCCGGCGTGTCGGTGCAGAGCTCCCCCGCCACACATGGCTTCCCCCTGCCGGACGACACGGACTACGACTCCATCGCCCCCGCCGAGGCGGAGGCCTTCTGGTGCTTTGCGCGCCTCATGGAACGCGTGGTAAGGATGGCCCTGTCCCCTACTTCCTCTCGCCGCCTCTCGCCACGTTCGCAGCGACTGGCGTGTGCCCCTGCCTTTGGCTCTTGCGATTGCTTCTTCTTCCTTTCCTCACACGCCCCCCGCCCCCCCCCCTCACCGCCGTGCACTCCGCCCGCCCTCTGTAGAAGGACAACTTCAGCTCAACCCACAGCAGCGTCTCGCGCCAGTCTCGGCGCATCCTCTTCCTCCTCAAATACCTGCAGCCGGATTTGTACATCCACTTGAGTGCGTGCCGCGCGCCGCGAGGAGCCCCTTGCCAGCCGTGCTTGCCCCCTGGCAGGTCTCCGTCCCATGTCTGCTGACCACACTGCTCCCCCCCCCCCCCCCCCGGTCCTCCGTCTCCCGCGCGTGAACCTCCTTCCGGGGGGTGTGCGCGCGCGCCGCTCCAGATCGCCTGGGCTGTGACGAGCTCTTTTTCTGCTTCCGCTGGCTGATGGTCCTCTTCAAGCGGGAGTTCCCGCTGTCGCAGGTGTTCCGCCTGTGGGAGGTACGTGCATGCTCTCCGGCCATTCCGAGATCGCCTTTCCCATTCGCCCGCATCGGGCACGCCCTAACCCCCCCCCCCCCCCCTCGCATCCCCCATGGACACGTGGGCGCTTGGCATTTTGCGCACATCCACGCACCCCCGCGCAGTCCCTCTGGTCGGATTACCTCTGCCACGACTTCGCCCACTTCGTGGCGCTGGCCTTCATCGCCCTCCATCGGAGGCGCATGCTGCGTATCGCCAAGAGCGGCGAGGACATCGTCCTCGTGGTGAATGGGCCCCACCTGCGGGAGTACCTGCCAGCGGCCCTGCGCCTGCACCAGCAGTGGAGCGTCTTCTGGAGCCCATGCACCCTGTTCAGTGACAGCCTGTCGCCGGTGGTTCTCGGGGGCACAGCCGCCCTGGACCAGCTCCAGGGCCAGACGGCCCACCTCCGCCGGGCCAGCCCACTGTTGCTGGCGGCCGCCGGCGCGTCTACCTACACCACCCCGGCCGCGGCCGGGGCCTCGCCCAGCCTGGGCCCCGGGGACAGCCTCACCGACGAGGAGGCCAGCAACCTGGCCTCGGGCGTGGGTGCCATCCCGGCGGACGGCCCCGAACCGCTGGCCAAGCCGCCGGCCGACGCCGCCGAGGCCAGCCGGCCGCTGGTGGTGCCCCCCACCAAGGCCCCCGCGGGAGGGTCCTCCCTGCCTCTGCTCCGGGAGGATCCGGCCTCGGCGCACATCGTCAGCGCCGAGATCATCATCCGCCTGGCGGCCGAGCTCTACTGGGAGTCCCGGCGCCTGGGGGTCCTGTGAAGAGAAAGAGGGGCCTGCCACAGAGGGGGGGCGGGGCCTGCAGCCGGGTGTGGCTTTGCGCGCCATCCCCATCCAGATGCCGCTGCACGGCTTGCCCCTGCCCTGCTCCCCCCCCCCCCCCCCCGCAGATAATACACCAGCCTTTAGACACACGACCTGTCTCCGTTCTTTTTTCGGGCCCTTTTCCGGGGCCGGGTGGGGCGGGCGGGGGGGTCTGGGCATTCATGTTGCCCCTGACGCGGGTATGTCCCACCGGAAGGGGCGTGGCGCCGGGTAGCGCCCCGATGGTGGCGCCACCATTCCCACGCAAACGCGCCACACTCGCCGTGCCCCTCTTCCTTCTTTCTTATCCGGCCCCGAG